GCGCAATGGTGTTTGGAAATAATGTTTCGGGGGCTCTCTAACAGGTAGATAAGTTTAATTACAAAAGAAACTTTGGAAAAAATTTTCCAAAAAAAATTGGGAGTTTGCATATCATGTTTTCAAAACCAGCCGATTTCCAAAATCTTCATTCGAAGACGAATGATTTTAAGTGGGGGAGGATGTAAGGCCCCATGAAAACTTGTACTCAAAACCTGGTAGCTCGTGGTGCCAAGTCCCGAATATGTGTTAGGAATGTGTAAAATTCTTCGAGCTCGCCGCAGTTCGGACCTTTTGTACTGATCTATGCTATAAAAAGTCAGAAAATACTATTTTTCAGAAAATGCGATTTTACGGTCGAGAATGCGGTGGCATATCAGGTATATGGACCGCATAATCACCGCAAAGTAAGTCAGTGTGTTGGTCGAATTTGAGGTTAAATATGCGGTCCGATATGCGATCGTATAACCCATATGCGGACCGCATAGTCGTTGCATATTTTCCTTGAGATTTTTGTGAGGGGCAGTTCTACGGTGCATTATGCGACTGCAGAACGGGTATGCGGACCGCATTTCTGCCGCATACCCAGGCAGTGTGTTCAGATTTTTGGAACACTTTTGCGGTCCATTCTACGGACTGCATTTCCACTCTGCGATCGCAAAGTGCGATCGCATACCTAACTCGGGCTCCTATTTTTCTAAATTTTAAACCCGGCCCCTTCTTCAGTAAAATACCCCAACCCCTCATTTTAACCTATTTTCTAAACAAATTAGAGAGAGGGAAGAGAGAATTCTTGAGAGAGAAAGTTTTATCTCCATCAATTTGATTTTTCAAAGTCATCCAGGCCGGAAAATTTCAAGTAATTGTCTTCATCTCCATTCATGCAAGTAAAATCCCCAGCACTTTTTCATTTGTTTTTAGATTTAAATAAAAAGGTTGATTCTCATGCATTGATTCTTGAGAATGGAAGTTGAAATATACATGCATGTCGTTTAAAACCTAAAATCTAGTAAGAGGAATTGCGTAGAAGTAAAGATTTGCAAAAAAGGGTTTGATAACCTAAGTAAGTTCGGGTTGAGTTTTTGAAATTCAATTCTAAGTTATATATGTTAACTTGTGAAATAGATTGACGGTACTAGGTTGTTGGTGAATTGAAAGTAGAAGCTAAAAAGGGAATTCGACTCTAGGTATGTAAGGCTAACTTTAACCTTATTAAAGTTACCTTGTTTGGTGTACGAGTAATTGGTATGTGTTACTTATGTAGACTATTTGCAAATTCTTGTGATTAATATGCCTTGAACGTTGTTGGTTAAGTCTCCTGATATAATGGTGTAAGTAAATGGCAACAAACCAAGTGTGTGTGTGTGTGAATGTGTTTATGTGGTAAGAGCTGTGTAATAAATGATGGAAAAAAATCGCAATTGATGCAATTGAAACAACTGTGGTAATATCATACGTGACTTGTCACGGGCAATTATCATTGTGACATAAATTGTATACGAGCTGTTGCATATGATGGAAATGGTATTGATGTTTATGAAAATTCTTTGTGAATTATTGTTGTTGTCGTGTGAAATATGATTGTCCGGTGGGATTGGGTTACGCGCCGCAACACGAAGTTATAAGGTGTGGGTTGTGGTGATAAGGGTGGCCGAGGTAATAAGGGTGGAAAAGTTATCGAAATCACTATTGAAATGAAAATATGTGAAAGTTGTGAAATCATTGATGTGATGAAATAATGTTGAAAGGGGAAAATGAGAGATTGTGGAACTTGTTTGGCTTTGGTTGTTCCTTTCATGTGCATTTGATTGTTGATTCTATTACTGTTTGTTATCTGTGTGTTCCTTGATTTTACTTGGGGTAAAGTTTGTTCATACATACCAGTACAATTCAAATGTACTGACGTCCCTTTTGCCGGGGGCGCTACATTCGTGTTATGATTGTAGGTGGTTCTATAGCAGGTACTCCAGCCCACCGACAATAGCACTCCTCCATTTCCCGTCAGCTGAATTGATGAGCCCCTTTCCTCTCAGGGCCCTGTGTGGCTCATGCCGCTTTTCTTCCAGAGTTTTATTCTGGCATTTGTGTAAGGTATAGTCGGAGCCTTATTACCAGCAAGTATTGTATCACCCTTTTGTATCCTTAGAGGCTCCGAAGACAGGAAATATGGGTTATGTACTTATGTATTTTGTATTTGGGCAGTGTAACTTGTAAACCACGCTAAGTAACCATGTATATTATTTAAGTCTCATAAGAATGTGTTTAAATTATAAATAGCTATTTCACTTGGTTAATGGGTAATGGAAACGCGGGGTAACACGTGGAATAGGAAAGGCACCCAGGTCCTCTTGGCTGGGGCTACCCGGTCAAGCGCCGGTCGCGCCCCTTGGTTTTGGGGCGTGACAAACATGGTATCAGAGCCTAAGGTTTTAAAGTGTCCTAGGATGTCTCGGAGCCGTGTCTAGCAGAGTCCCTCTTATCGCTGTGTTGTTGAGCACATCTATAAGTTGAAGGCTACATGGACATTTGGGAATGTTACCCTTCTTCAACACTCCAGATTGTGCGATAAAGCTTTACTTTAAGATTGTCTTCTAACTCGTGCGTTGAGATTCAAGGTAAGTTTAAACGCTCTTTCGTCTATTTCAAGTAATGTTGTCATACGGAATGACCAATGGGTAGAGGCCTGAATATTAAGGAGATGGCATATGTGTCATGTTGAACGAATGGTACAAATATATGAGGTACATACATAGTGCCAGAAGCATACTTTATTCGAGAAAGTGTTAAAAATGATTGTGACCTCCAAAGGAACATTGAATTGATAAGTGCTATATAAGCTTGAATAGCACATGTAGGTAGTATGAGAAGTATGTAAATTATCCTAAGGTGTGAAAGAAAACTGGTTATATAAGCACGTGATTTATGGGAGACATGACCAGGAGATTGATGATGAGAGTGCAAGTCTCTCCTAGGAGACAAGAAGTTATGAAATGAGAGTCGAATTGAACCCATGATGAGAAAACCCTTATGCTACGAATGTCATAAGAACCCCATATGCTAATGATAGACCACTAGTACCTCCAAAAAGGTAGAAGGCTAAGGAAGGTAAATTCTTCATACATGGCAATGTGAATGATAGGGTCAACGATCCTAGAAACTAAGAGTAGGTTTGTAAAGGGGTTCTATACTTGTTAGAGGGATAAGGACAATGCATCCCAAGGATGTACTATAGATCAAAGGTGAAAGTTTTGCGAGTTTTTAGAATGGGTTAATCATGGAATTGCGATTCAACTAAAGTTCCAAGATGTTATGAAAGGCGGAACGAGTGGGAAAAATAAATGTGATGCTATAATAACCCAAGAGAGTATTTGGGCTTGATGGAAACCTTACAAGCGAATAAGTGTTATGTGATATATGGATGGACACACTTTCCCACGGATATCCTCACAAGAGTTAAGAGGTGAGCATGATGATATAACTAAGGGAAAAGACTACGTAGCACATTGAGGAGTGTATGGCTATTCATTAGCTAGGATGAATAAGGTGATAAGAAATGGGGAGAAAATTTATAAATTGAGATGTCCATGGTTATCGCAAAAAAATTCATATCAGAATGGTGGACTCGCCTAGAGCACAAGTGTTAATAGAAGGTATAAAAGACTAACCGTAATGCTATCAACTTGGGTGACACTAAATGGTAACTAAAGGAGCTAGAGATAGTTCATGCCTACATATAATGGAAAGTGAGACTACTGGTGGTGAAGTTGCGATATGATAAACTCATTAAACCAGGCACAATTCACAGGAGGTAGACAAGTGTGTGGCAAAATAAGGCTATCAATTATGCACTATGAGCAAAATAGAATGGGAATGAATATTCCATTTAGAACGAAAAGATGATACCAATATATTGTTTGGGCCAGTGGCACTTTCCGAATTGAATATGTGCGAAGGGTGTTGATATGCATTTTGGGTGGTGTTGAACAGCAAAGAGAGATCATGAGAATGTTCACAAGGGAAGGTGGAGTGGTTTCTTAAATTCTATAAGGCACACAAGGAGGAAAGAGGTTGACCAGGAAAGGTCTGAGCACAATGTTACATTACATTTGATGCAATGTCGTACATGTTGATGATATTAAGGTGTGTGTGTAGGCTAGAATATGTTATTCCTTTGACATAGAAGGTTCTATAAGAAAACTCATCCAGTAATGTCTTCTGTTGAGAATTTGGAAGAGCAAGTTGCAAGTACTCACATAAGATTGTAATTATATCAAGAAAATTATTGAAGAACTCAAATACTAGGAGGTCATATGCAAGAGAAGTGTGATATAGATGGTTCACTATTGATGGAACATGGCCAGGTGATCACTTGTGCCCCTAGGCAACCCAAGAATCATGGAAAGAACTATCCGACATATGATTTAGAACTTGCGGCAGTAGTTTTTGTATAAAGATTTGGTGACATTATGTGTATGGGGTCCACGTTGATGTATTTATGGACCACAAGAGCCTTCCATATATTTTTAAAACAAAAGGAGTTGAATCTGAGACATATAGGATGTCTCGGGCTACTCAAGGACGATGATATTGAGATTTTCTATCACCGGGAAAGGCCAAAGTTGTGGCGGATGCTCTTAGACGGAAATATATGGGAAGTTAACTCACTTGGAGATATATCAAAGGCCGTTGGCCAGGGAAGTTCACCAGTTGGCTAGTCTAGGAGTTTGTCTTGCGGACTATGGTGAAGGGGAGTAATTGTGTAGAATAAGGATGAATCGTCGCTTGTAGTGGAGGTCAAAGGAAACCAATACAACGATGCATTGTTAGCACAGCTGGAGGAGGGTATTCATAAACACAATATCATAGCTTTTTATTTTGGCATTGATGATGGTACCCTATGGTGCCAAGGGCACATATGTGTTCCGGATATTGACGGTCTTTGGGAAAGGATTTTGGTTGAAGCTCATACTTCTAGGTATTCCGTACTCCCAGGTTCTACAAAAATGTATCATGATCTCAAAGAAGTTTATCGGTGGGATAATAGGAAAAAGGATGTGGCAGACTTTGTGGCAAAAAGTCTGAACTATCAGCAAGTGAAGGTCGAACATCAAAGGCCTAGAGGATTGATACAAAGCATTGAAAATCCAATGTGGAAATGGGAAATGCTCAATATGTATTTTGTGGTAGGGTTGTTGCGCACTTTGCACAAGTTTGACTCAATTTGGGTGATTGTGGATCGACACACGAAATCAGTGCACTTCTTGCTAGTCAAATCTACTGACACAGCAGAACAATATGCTCAACTGTATGTCAAAGAAATAGTCAGGTTGCATGCCACTCCAGTCTCAATCATTTCAGATCGAGGGGCTCAATTCACGGCAAAGTTTTGGAAGGAATTTCAGCAAGATTTGGGTACTCAAGTAAATCTTAGTATAGCCCTTCATCAGTAAACTGATGGGCAGGCAGAGCGGACCATTCAGACGCTTGAAGATATGTTGCGAGCTTGTGTTCTAGCTTTCGAAGGCAGTTGGGATGACCATTTGCCGTTTGTCGAGTTTGCTTACAATAACAGCTTTCACGCTAGTATTCAGATGGTCCCATTTGAGGCATTGCATGGAAGGAGGTGTAGATCTCTGATTAGGTGGTTCGAGGTTGGTGAAGTAGAACTGTTAGGGCCAGATCTTGTGCATCGGGCTATAAAAAGGTTAAAATCATTCAGGAGAGGATGAAAACTGCTCAGAGTCGTCAGAAATCCTATGCAGACATGCATCGAAGAGAATTGGAAATTCCAAGTAGATGATTGGGTGTTCTTGAAAGTATCTTCCATGAAGGGAGTCATGCGATTTGGGAAGAAAGGAAAATTGATCCCAAGGTATGTCGGGCTATATCGGATCACTCAAAGGATAGGACAGGTGGCTTATAGGCTGGAATTGCCCCCTGAAATGTCCTTAGTGCATCCGGTGTTCCATGTATCTATGTTAAAGAAAATGGTTGGAGATCCATCCACCACCGTGCCAATCGAGACTATCGAGGTCAATAAAGAGTTATCATATGAAGAAATTCTGGTTGCTATTCTTGATAGGCAAGTCCACAAATTGAGAAACAAGGAAGTTGCTTCAGTTAAAGTACCATGGCAAAGTCAATAAGTCGAGGAAGCCACGTGAGAAGCGGAAAGTGAAATAAAAGAAAAATATCCCCATCTGTTCGAACAAGTCTAGTAGTGATCGTGCGAACTCTTATCTCTAAGCAAACTGATGTTGTGTTCAATTTGGTGCAAAGACACCCCATATTTCCCCTAAATGCTTTACTCTTGTAACTCCTCAAGTTGTGCAAGAATTGTATGTGTATTGATTATTTGAGTCATGCGCAAACCTTTTTTTGGTAAATGAAAATTTTGTAAGAACCCATGTGATAAGTGAATGATTAAAGGTAGTGTAGATTGGTAATGATTAATTGAAATGTGTATAGTGTATTGAAGTAGTTAAACTGTATGGGACTCATTGAAGTGACCAAATTATGTGCAGGTGTTGAGGTAATGATTTGTATACCGGTTGTAGGGATAATAGGAATAGCGTAATGGTGCTTGGAAATAATGTTTATGGAGCTCTCTGACAGGTAGATAAGTCTAATTACAAAGGAAACTCTGGCAAAAATTTTCAAAAAAAAATTGGGAGTTTGCATATCATGTTTTCAAAACCAACCGATTTCCAAAATCCTCATTCGAGGTTGAATGATTTTAAGTGGGGGAGGATGTAAGGCCCCGTGAAAACGTGTACTCAAACCTGGTAGCTCGTGGTGCCAAGTCCCGAATATGTGTTAGGAATGTGTAAAATTCTTCGCGGCGAGCTTGTTCGCCGCAGTTCGGACCTTTTGTACTGATCTATGCTATAAAAAGTCAAGAAATACTGTTTTCCAGAAAATGCGATTCTGCGGTCGCATATTAGGTATGCGGACCGCATAATCGTCGCAAAGTGAGTCAGTGTATTGGTCGAATTTGAGGTTAAATATGCGGTCCGATATGCGATTGCATAACCGATATGTGGACCGCATAGTCGTCGCATATTTCCCTTGGGATTTTTGTGAGGGGCAGTTCTGCGGTGCATTATGCGACCGCAGAACGGGTATGCGGACCACATTTCTGCCGCATACCCAGGCAGTGTGTTCAGATTTTGGGAGCACTTTTGCAGTCCATTCTGCGGACCGCATTTCCACTCTGCGATCGCAAAATGCGATCGCATACCTAACTCGTGCTCCTATTTTTCTAAATTTTAAACCCGACCCCTTCTTCAATAAAACACCCCAACCCCATGCTATACCCTATAACTGTGGATGTGCTGCATCAAGTGTTTTCTCCACATGGATTTGTAGAGAAGATCGTTATGTTTCAGAAGTCGGCTGGTTTTCAAGCTTTAATCCAGTTTCAACTACAACAAAGTGCTGTTTCTGCAAGGAACTCACTTCAGGGGCGTAATATATATGATGGCTGCTGTCAGCTTGACATACAGTTCTCTAACCTAGATGAATTGCAAGTGAACTACAATAATGAGCGTTCAAGGGACTTCACTAACCCGAATCTACCATCAGAACAGAAGGGCAAATCCTCTCAGCAAGGATATGGAGATATGTACTCCTTCCAAGGTTCTGGAGCTCATGCAGGTGGATTTCCTCAGATGGGAAATGCTGAAGCAATTGCAGCTGCGTTTGCTGGTGGTTTGCCACCTGGAATTAGCGGGACAGATGTACTATTCTTGTGTCTAATTTAGATTCAGATAGAATAGATGAGGACAAGCTTTTTAATCTCTTTTCCCTTTATGGAAACATTATCATAATTAAGATTCTGCGCAATAAACCAGATCATGCTCTGGTTCAGATGGGTGATGGCTTCCAGGCTGAGTTGGCTGTTCATTTTTTGAAGGGCGCCATATTATTTGATAAGCGGCTGGAAGTCAACTTCTCAAAGCACCCCAATATTACTACCGGACCGGACACACATGACTACTTGAATTCAAATCTCAACCGTTTTAACCGTAATGCTGCTAAAAACTACCGGTATTGTTGCTCTCCTACTAAGATGATCCACCTCTCCTCCCTGCCCCAGGATGTAACAGAGGAAGAGATCGTGGCACATCTGGAGGAGCGTGGTCCCATCATCAATAGTAAGCTGTTTGAGATGAATGGCAAACAGCAGGCTCTTGTTCTTTTTGAAAAGGAGGAGCAGGCAACTGAGGCACTGGTATGCAAAAATGCTACATTCCTTGGTGGCTCAACCATCCGCATTTCGTTTTCTCAGTTACAGAGCATCTGAAAAGCCTTTGTGATAGGATGATAAAGATGTCAACGCCATTGTAGATGCAATAATAACAATGCTCTAATGTGCTTTCGCGGTGATCTGTAATTTTAGTATCTGCTGCCATTGTACTCTTTCTGCCTCTATTAGCTATTGTACCTTTTTCTCATTGAGCTAAAGGAGATCATTGGTAGTTGCTTAAGTTTTTGTAGAAATAGGGTAGTCTAAATTCTGATACAGNAAAGTCATGCAGGCCGAGAAATTTCAAGTAATTGTCTTCATCTCCGTTCTTACAGGTAAAATCCCAAAACCCTTTTCATTTGTTTTCAGATTTAAACAAAAAGGGAGATTCTCATGCGTTGATTCTTGAAAATGGAAGTTGAAATACACATGCATGTCCTTTAAAACCTAGAATCTAGTAAGAGGAATTGGGTAGAAGTAAAGA